GTAAAAGAAAATCAGGGTTTTGCAAACCCGAACCAAACAGGTAAGTTAGATCTTTTTAAAAGATCAGCCGATTTTAACGCCTATAAAATCGGGCGATAAAGCTTATTTTGAGCGATTTTTAGGGGAAAATCGGGCAAAAACGATTTTTGATTGTAATAGTGAATTTTCGGATTTATCGCCCGATTTTGTAATAATATGGGCCGATTTTTAAAACCTTGCTATTAGACAATAACACCTAATCAATATGACATAAATCAAATTCAATCGTAGAATTCACAAAGTAGAAAATATAGCAAATTTAATTATTGCTAAGAATCACAATCTAAAAGGTTCTTTTTACAAAACTCCTCTGGGGTCATCTCAAAAAAAATCCTTAATTTGGGGTTATTATAGATACCCCCCCCCCCCCACCCCAAACAAAAAAAAAAACCACGCACACCCCCAACTTTCTCACTTAATCCCCTAAACTAATAACATTAAATCTAACACATGATTAAAATGATTATATTATCCCTGTTGTAATATACTAAAGAAATGAAACAAGAGACAAGAGAAGAAGAGAAATTGTAATATTTATTCATAAATTTCATTTTCATACATCGTACAATTTATAGATACATGATGGAAGATAAAATAACATCAGGTTAATAGTTCACATACAAAGTAATGTCCACATACATTTTGTCTTTTAGATTTTAACAAAATGTCTTTTGGATTTCAACACTCCCCCTTGGGCATTACTTCGAGATGTCAATGCCTCATTAAAAACCTCGCTAGAAAAACCCAGTGGGACAAAAACTAGTCGAGGAAAAGAGTACACGACATAAGTAGATTCTTGTGTTGCATTAGTTGCATCATTAAAAACATTTAGCTAAGAAAACCCTGTGGGACAAAACTTAGCAAAGGAAAAATAGTACAACTATAGACCTTCAAGACCCTATCTTCGGGATTGTCTTGAAAATTCGCTCCCCCTGATGATGACAATCTTCTGAGTGTATGCTAAGAAAAACTCAGTAGGTCAAAACTTAGCAAAAGGAAAAAAATATGACGATAGATCTTCAGGGCCCAATCTTCAGGATTGTTCTTTAAAAATTTGCTCCCCCTGAAGATGATAGTCTTCCAAGTCTGTGTATACCAATATTGTGAACATATTTCTCAAAAGTTAATGTAGGCAGAGATTTGGTGAACAAATCTGCAAGATTGTCACTTGAGCGAATCTTTTCGATGGTGATTTCTCCATTCTTTTGGAGCTCATGTGGATAAAAGAATTTTGACGTAATATGTTTTGCCATGGTTCCTTTTACATATCCATTGTTCATTTGTGCAACTCAAGCTGCATTGTCCTCATAAAGGACAGTGGGGATAATATCGTCTTTCGCTAGACCACACGAGCCATAAATGTGTCGTATCAACGATCTCAACCATACATATTCTCGTGAGGCCTCATATAAAACGATAATCTCTGAGTGGTTAGAAGAAGTAGTCACCATGGTCTGCTTAACAGACCTCCAAGAAACAGAAGTACCACCACAGAGAAAAACATAACCAGCCTGGGATCTGACGTTATGGGGATCAGACATGTAGCCAGCGTCCTAATAGCCCACCAATGTCATATCTTGGTTTCTTTTATAGAGTAATCCAAGATCTTTTGTACCTTGAAGATAGCGAAGGATATGTTTAACGCCATTCCAATGCCTCCTTGTAGGAGAAGCACTATACCTTGCTAGCAAGTTCACCGTAAATGCAATATCAGGCATGGTGCAATTTGCGAGATAGAGAAGTGCTCCAATGGTGCTCAGATAGGAAACTTCTGTCCCTCACATTTCTTCATTATCTTCTTTGGGTCTAAATAGGTCTTTATCCACTTCGAGGGACCGGGTGACCAGTGGTGTGCTAAGTGGATGAGATTTATCCATATAAAATCTTTCCAAAAACCTTTTTCATGTAGGCCGACTGGTTTAGAAAAATTCCTTCTGGGAAATGCTCGATCTGCAGGCCAAGACAAAACTTGGTTTTTCTCAAGTCTTTCATTTCAAACTCCGTCTTTAGGCATGAGCTAGCTTCTGTAAGCTCCTTGTACGTTCCAATAACATTTATATCATCAATATAGACTGATATAATACAGAAGCCATTTTCGAATTTCTTTATAAACACACAAGGACAGACATCATTATTTGCATATCTCTTCTTCAGGAGGAACTTACTCAGTCGGTTATACCACATTCTATCCGACTGTTTCAAGTCGTATAACGACCTTTATAATTTAATGTTATACATGTTGCGATTCTCGTTTTCTCTCAATTCAGGAATTTTAAGTCCATCGGGGACGTTCATATAAAAATATTAGCATCTAATGACACATATAAAAATGTGGTCATGACGTTCATATACTGCATATATAAATTCATAGTTTCTGCCATAGGTATTAACTTGTGGAACGTAATACAATCACTAATAGGAGAATATTTTACATCTAAATCGATGTCGGGTCTCTGCGTGAATCCATTGAGCTATGAATCTCGCTTTATATCTCACCACCATACAATTCTCATTTATTTTTCTTACGAAGACCTATTTATATCCTGCAGGGATATATGGACTATAGGTTCAAAATACTTTAGTGAGTTCAGCTCAGCCTTAATTGCCACTTTCCATCTCACCTAGTCCGAGTGCTTCAAGCACTCTGCTACCAACTTAGTTTTTGGATCCATATTATTTTTGGAGATAGTAAGAGTAACTGTAGAGGCAACTATGTTATCGATAACTTTTATATTTCTATTATATATTTCTCCTTTTTTACAAATTCATGGCCACTTTAATTCTTATTTTATGTCAACCAAATCCTCGTCATTTACCTTAACAATTGGATTTGGCCATTCTGCATCTCTAATATTATGACTATCAAGTGCACGTGCAATTTACTGGAGATTTCGTCTTCAGGACAAGCCTCTTCCGGAGGTTATGTGAGTGACTGTCTTTCTATATTAGATTTGGTGTGCTGCGGACTTTTATCTTTTTCACTAACAAGTTTCCTATGTTTCTGGTGCAGTACACTTCTGGCGTACCAAATCATCAATGATATACTCAATATGAATATGGGGCTTAGTCACTCTTTTCTTAGCAGATTATCATGTGAACTTCTGGTTCAGTTTGACTAGTATGTGGATATAAATATTGAAGATCTTTTTCATCAATGGAATTTCTTGACATTATTTTGTATTTTAGGCACTAATCTCCCCTTAATGCCGAGAATTAATCTTCAATAAAAATACAGTCAGCGTACCAAATTATAAATTGATCCTCTAACATGGGCTATAGATACTAAATTATTGACAGAGTTTCATAAATAATGTATGTACCTTCACCGAGGTCCCATAGAGGTACGCTATGGCGGTGATAAAGAAACATGGACTGCAAATAAAGAATACGCAGATGAGAAATGTTTCGCTTCTTCATCATGTATTAAATAAAGGGGGAAAATTGCGATATGCAGTTGGTCGGATTTGGTTTGAATGCTCCATTTAATTTAAGGAAATCTGACAAATCATATTTTGCCCAAGATGACCCAATAGCTCATGCCAGAATTTTAAAAAAAATTGGGTCTATAAATCTCAAAAATCATTGCAACATGGTGTATTTTAGGTCAGACAAATTCTAAAGTGTATAAATAAAAACCACATAGGTTCACAAGAGTTTAAAGCAAACTCAAGTTAAATCAAAATTGTCTAACAAATGCATATAATCCAAATATAGAAAAAACCAAATAGTTTACCTTGACTATCTCGATAAGATCCACTTCAATGTCCACTACCTCCCCCTCGCCGAAGCTTATGAATATTAGTTTGAATTATAACATGTGCTTCAGGCACTACGTGTGATTACATTAAACTTGCATTATGGTTTCTCACAACAGCTGGTTGTGTTTTTAACAACTACTAATGCAAGGATTAGTTCATAATGTTTAATATAATTTTTAGTTGTACTATTGTAAGAGTACAAGGTTACTTGTTGAATTGTATTCAGTCGAGGGTTTAAAATCCAAAAATGGCTACAGGATAAGATCTCCTACTATGTTCATAGCCTCCCCCTTGTCCACGCGTATAAGTAATTTTCTGAATTGTAGCATGTGCTACAAACACAACTCGTAAGCCAACTAGTCTGACATTATGATTTCTAATCATCAATTGGTTGTGCTTCTCTGCGACTACTAATGTAGATATCAATTCAGAATGCTAAGTGTAATTCTTGGTTATGTACAGCTGCTGGAGTATAATATTATTTGCATGTAATAGGAAAAAAATCTTTTCGATCAATTCTGCGAGCTTCACCCACTAGACAATATGACACATGGTTGAATCATATTTAGTTATGTATTTGAAATCTAAAAAGTTCTGATTTAGTCTGCCAGTTACGTTTGAGGGAAGATTGTTGGCTTTCATATAGCAAAGCGATCCTTCAGGGATTACTCAGAAAAGTGAATACTTTTTCAGTGAGGCATTAGTTTTTCACGTCTTAATTGATAGAGAGAAAATTTAAAGTATTTGCCTTCTGGACAAAGATACTTAAAGAATCAAGAGATATAATCATGCAAAAATCACAAGGGTGTCCAGTAAAAATGAACGTTCGAGACCAAAGACAAGTAATAATTACTATCATATATCACAGTGCACTAATCATGAGGACGAAAGATGAGAAATTAGAAATATTCACATTTTAATAAGATCACACATAATCACCAAAATCATCAAGCTCCTTTTTCTAAAGATCTTCATAAAGGTTACCTTTCAAATGTTTGCTTCTAGCAAACTAGTCTGATATTAAAATTCACACAAAAATTTTAATGCTCGGACGATCAATGAGCATCACAAACTCAAGCAAGTAGAAATTAAATAAAGGCATAACCAGTTTGTGCTATCCTTTTTTCTAAACTCAAGGTTGCCAGATTCAAAACATCACCAATGCAATTTTGGATTTAATATTGCATAATTTC